GCTGCACAGCTCTGCATGAAGGCAGAGCTCTATATGCATGCTTGTGCGCCCCAGCCTGCCTGGCTGCTCCCTGGCCCCACTCCATCCTGTCCCGTCTTTGCTGGCTTCTGGGAAGGGGCTCCTTTTGGGCACAGGCAAAGTTTGGTTTCACGTGAGCCCACTGAACCTAGGTTTCACCTGAAAGTTGGAGATCTGCAGTGGAGAGGGATGCTGAGAAGCAGAGCCAGGCAGCTTTACCCAAACTATCCTCAGAGACATTTGGGTAACGTGTTCTTAGACCTGCATGGATGGAGATGCTCTGTCTTCCCTCAATAATACGTTCTAAGGTTTTTTCCATCCCTGCCATTTGCACATAGGCCACTGAAGCCTACCCGTGCAGATCTGCCGCCATGCCCTGTGTAAGCTGACTGCTCCCTTCCTCGCTGCAGAGTCCTGTGTTGGATCATCTCGGGCTTTGCTGCAAGGCACATCGGCCGTGAAAAGCTGGCAGGAGGGCTTCTTGTGCCTCAGGGCTAACTGCAGGCTGGGAGATGAATCAGCTGCTACCTGTCCTGGTACCTGAGGCTCTGAATTCAGACTCCCGCTGTCTCCTGCGGCCCATGACAGCATTTCTTTCACATGCTCTGTATGAAGCTGCCCACCTTCTGCAGCGTCCAAGAGTTGTAGGACGAGGCTGCGTTTGACTTTGTAGGGTAGAAGTGGGATTAACTCCTTCAGACAACTAGCACAAGCATTCCTCCCCTGGGGCAAAGACCTCACCCCAGACATAAGTCCGTGAGCTGCTGTGCAGACAGGCCTCCTGCTTGGGAGCAATTTGGGGTACCAGCATATCCCCTTCCTCTGCAAGGGAAAGCAGCCAGCGTTGCTCTCGGGAGATCCCAGTTCTGATGAGCAGCTGTTATATCTTAAGGTGGAAAAACCTTCAAAAATGCCTGCGACGCGTCAAAGGAGATGATTCATTCAGCGTTGCTGCTTGCCTCTTCCTTTGTGCATGGCGCTAAGTTCCCCCAGCACTGCTCCCCTCCCTGCCAGAGCAGCTCATTCGTCCAGCAGGTACCCGGAGATGGCTCAGCATTAGCGCACAGCAAACTTTGTTTCCTTTCTAAATACAAAAGGATGTGGACAATTTGCCTTGCTCCAACGTCTTACCTCTTACCATGATGTTTCACTGCAGAATGACCCTATCTGTGCCGCATCACGGGAGGCATCTCAGAGAGGTTGTAGGAGTGCTTGAGGTCCTGCCAGCAAGGCTATTAGATGTAGGAGTGCTTGAGGTCCTGCCAGCAAGTGAACCTCCTGGTTCACTTGTTTCATGTAATGTAGGACTACACTGGAGCTGCTCTGTTTGGATATCTCTGCCCATTCGGGGCTGATTTACGAGAAGGACATGGTAGGAGTGAAAAGGCTACGATAAGCAGCAACTATGTCTTAAAGCCTCAGGGTCCTTGGCAGTTCATTAGGGGCTCTGAACTGTTCAGGGAGGAAGAGATGCAGCTTAGGACATTATTCAAAATCCCCGAGGGATTAGGCAGAGGAAAGGTGTTTCTGCCTTACCTGGCTCTTTCGCTGGAGGCAGCCCACATATGAAAGAGCATGGCACGAACTGAAAGGAAGGCCAGGAGGTCCCAGGGCCAGGAGGACACTTCGGATGTGGACAATATTGCTTGGCACAGCAATGTAACATATTGTTTCTTTGGAGGAGTTATGAGAGGGAGCAGGATGTGGGGGCTGGCCGTGCCGAGCGACCCAGCATGCAGGGGCACTAGAAGGGCGGGCTCTCCCAAGCCCTCTGGCCACTTGTCCTGTCCCAAAGCCCCTCTCCTCTGTCTGAGCCTGGGCTCCTTCCATTCCTTCCCTCTGGTTCAGACAAAAGACAAAGAAACCTGAGGAGCCAGTCTTCAACGAAAATGCTCCCTTTCTTGTGATGGGAACCAAGCACAGGTACGAGGAAGGGACTGGAGGAAGTCTTGGTGGTGTTGTGTGGGTTGTCTGAGCTATGGGGACCGTTCAGAGCACCTTGAGATGCTTGGAGATACGCATTCAAGGAGCATTTCTGTGCTGCTGCATGTGAACAACAGCCACCAGAGCGTGGGTTTGAGGTCTTTGTCTGTGTCTCCAACTTATTCCTCCCGCTCCCTGTGCTTGTATAAGCCTCTTACCTGTGAACGCTCGTGGCTGCTGCTGGCTCTGTTTGCACAGGCAGGTCTCTGAGATGTAGAGGAAGTCAAGAGGTAGGGGAGAGAGGCAGGGTAGGCTGGAGAGGGGGTCCTAGTCTGCGCAACATGCATTTTGTGAACCTCTGGCTCCATTTCCTACAGTTTTGTTCAAGAGCAGTGGTGGCAGTATGCTGTGCGCGATGAGCCTGCATTTCAAAGCAGACTGCAGACACCCTGGGAAGTGGTGACTGCCCACTTCTATGTCTGGTGCTGGAGACACTGCTTTTAAAACTGGGAAACTTGCTTTATCCCATTGGCAACCAGTAAAGACCCAAATGGTTCCATCTAGATGGGTCAGAAACCAGCTGGATCAGTCAGTGGATGAGATGTTCCTTCCTAAAACCCCGAATAGCTTGTGGTCAGGGTTATCATCCTCTTCCTTCTGCAGAAGGGAGGGAAGTGGGATCTGAGTCCACATAGTTGCTGTATGGCCTGGTCTGACCCGAATGGCCCTGGTTTTCAACACAGTTTTGTATGTCACTGCTCATGAGCTGCTGGGTTTGACAGTGGGTCTTTGGGAACTGAATGAGTCAAGTGAAGAAATCAGCTGCAATCCAGAAGGAGCAGAAAGGATCATTCGCAGGCTCAAGGGGCAGACAACTCCTGTGCAAGGCTGGCAAGGAAGAGCTTTAGCACTGGAGGGTTTTGGCAGAGGGTTTTGGTGGAGGGCTTCAGCGTAGGGCAGGAAGGAAGGAGCTCAGGCGAGTTCTCAGTGAGCCTTCAGCTGCAAGAAGGAGGCTCCCTCTCGTGGGGACTGGAGCTCGTGCAAGGACAGTCTGTCCACCTGCATGCCTGGCATTGGGCAAAGGCAGGCGGGGAAGGGCCAGGCCTGGGAAACTGAGGCACAGCGAGATGAAGGTGCTTGCAATGGCAGAGTCCAGGATTGATGAGTTCAAGACTTGATTCCAGTTGTGAAGTCCCGTCAGCATTTCCTCTCTGCAGAGCGAGGGGGGTTTCTGGGCGCCATTACCCTAAAGCCTGCTCTCCTAGGAGCAAGACAGCACAGCAGCCCCGCCCCTGCATCACCTTACCATTTGCTCAGAGCCCATCCTTACACCCATCTTTCTCCATTCCCCAGGCAATTCCCCGTCAGATGAGTCAGAGGAGCGAGAGCGAGACCCCAAGGTGCTCACCTTCCCTGAGTACATCGCCAGCCTCTCCGAGTCGGGCACCAAGCGCATGGCAGCCGGTGTGCGGATGGAGTGCCAGAGCAGAGGGCGTTGCCCCTCATCCTGCCCTCTGTGCCACGTCCCCTCTGGCCCTGACGCACCCACTGAGCCTATCCTGCTTGAGGTCACCAAGGCAGCACCCATCTACGAGCTGGTCACCAACAACCAGACCCAGCGGGTGAGGAGCTGTTTGTGTGACGGTAAGATGGGACGAGGCTCCTGCCTGCCCAGCACTGACCCCCTTCTTCTGCTTCCCAGCTCTTGCAGGAGGCCACCATGAGCTCACTGTGGTGCTCAGGGAGTGGGGATGTCATCGAGGACTGGTGCCGGTGTGACTCGAGCGCCTTCGGGGCCGATGGGCTGCCCACCTGTGCACCTCTCCCGCACCCCATGTAAGTTGTCAAGCGTGCCCAGCTGGCCCTCCTTGCATGACACGAGGCGCGCCGGGCCCCTGAGGAGGTGGTGATGGCAGTGGCTTCTCCAGCACCCTGGCTGCGGGATGGAGCTTTCCCCAGGAGTGTGGTGGCACAATGTGGGGGGGTGAGGGACAGCAAGGCAGGCAGATGGGGGACCTGGACGGGAGGCGGAGGGTGCAGAGACATGATGTCTTTTCTAGATTAAGCTGTGGATTGGGGACCATTTGTTGGATCTGTGCTGGTAGAGCAGCCTCAGGGAAGGAGCCCATGGGGACACTGAGAGAAGAGGTGTGCCCAGAGCCAGGAGGGGTAGGAGAGAGGGAGTCACTTCTGTCCTGCACTTCCTCTGCTCCCGCGGGTTATGGCTTTGATGCCTTTCTGAAAGGAGGCCATGAATGTGGGGCGGCTGGGCGGCTGGCAGACCTTCCCCTCTCAAGATGCTAACCAGCCGGCACTGCCCCCCCAGCCTGCGACTGTCCACTGCGCATGAGCCCAGCAGCACCCTAGTGGTGCTGGAGTGGGAGCACTCAGAGCCACCCATCGGGGTGCAGATCGTCGACTACCTCCTCCGCCAGGAGAAAGTCACCGACAGGATGGACCACTCCAAGGTGGAGACCGGTAAGTGGGGGCTGCCAACCAATCGGCAGCACCCAGTTCTCTCTGGGGAGGGTGGGATGGGGTGCTCGCTTCTCCCTTGCGGTCTCCCAATTTGCACGTGACACAGCCAAAACAGCTCCCTGTCCACATTAGCAGCAGTCAGCACATTAATGGGCACAGCTACTTCTGTCTGGCGCACAGCCTTGGTGCCTGCCCTTGGAGATTCATTTTGGCCCTGGGGGACGGGATGTCTGGAGAGTCACCTGTGGTGCATCCTCCCCTCTCTCCCTAGAGACGGTGCTGAGCTTTGTAGACGACATCATCTCCGGTGCCAAGTCACCCTGCGCGATGCCCGGCCAAGTGCCTGACAGACTGTCCTCCACCATCTCCCTCATCGTTCGCTGCCTGGAGCCCGACACCACTTACATGTGAGTTGTCCTCCTCCACCACCTCTTGCATACTGCAGTGCCCTCACTTCTGCTCTTAACCGTGAGCGCAATGCTGATATTTCTGGTTGGCACCATCTAATAGTATTGCTCATGTTCATTTGTTTTTGGTCCTGGGTGTTTGTATTGCCTCATGCCATGCTTGGGTGAGCATTTGCCAGCTCTGCGGGCGAATGCTCTGCCACGCCAGCCTTCCCTCAACCGGCGCTGCTGGGGGAGAAGCTGGGACCACTGGGCTCTGCACCCACTCAGTGGGGCTCTTTCGTGCTTCCCCAGGTGCCTGCAAAGCGAGCACGAACAGCACACTGCATGCGCCGATATGGTCAAAGCTGCCTGGGGCAAGGCGAGGCTGCAGGAGGAAGGTGGAGGGCTCAGAAGCCCTTGCTCTAGCCAGACCTTCACTGCTTTCCTTCTCCGCCAGGTTCACGCTCTGGGGAGTTGATAACACAGGGAGACGCTCCAGGTCCAGTGATGTGACGGTCAAGACCCCCTGTCCTGTGGTAGATGATGTGAAAGCTCAAGGTGAGCTTGAGGGGCTGGAAGGAGCTGCCTGCACATGCATCCAGTCTGACCCGAGGTCTCACGCTGTGGGCAGAACTGGCTGCATCACATAGAAAGAGAGTGCCAGGAAACAGCTTTGTTGTGCTGGACGTAGAGGCGTGGCTGGGACTCAGATGTGGGTTGGAAAGGTCCTGCATGGAGTTCAGGACTAGGCTGAATCTGTGTTCCCACATCTTGTCACAGGAACCCCACCACGCTCCCAAGGCCGAATGCCTTGAGCATGGGTAGTGCTTGGGATCTGCAGTAAGGAGATCCTCCTTCCAGCACATCTCTGCTCACATCTTGTGGCCCAGCTACAAGACCTTCTTCACCTGAGACGGCCCCAAGCACTGCATGGGTGCTGAGGGCTGGGTTGGAGGGCAGTGGGAGAAGATACGTATTGATATGATGTAAACTATGTCCTGGAGCAGGGAGAAAGCTTAGCTCTGATAAAAGAAACAGATTTGCCTCTTAGGTTTAACTAAAGCCGGGCATTACCCTGGTGGTCTTTGTCCATTCCTTTTCCGCATACCCCCCTGAATATCTCCTCTGTCCTTCTGCCCAGAAATAGCAGACAAGATCTACAACCTCTTCAATGGCTATACCAGTGGCAAGGAGCAGCAAACAGCCTACAACACCCTGCTGGATCTGGGTTCCCCGAGCCTGCACCGCGTCCTTTACCACTACAACCAGCACTATGAGAGTTTTGGGGAGTTCACCTGGCGCTGTGAAGATGAACTGGGGCCCAGGTACGCTCAGGAACTGCATTGGCTAGTTAGGCAGACCTGCTAACCCAACACACTTTAAAATCATCTGATGATATTGCTTAGAATCCCACAGTGTGGTTCCCGTTTTGCTAGATGCTGTGCAATGCTTGGGATCCAGCCATCTTCTCTTACCCTTGAAGGATTATAAATATTACACAAGGTGGAAGATGGCAGGCTGTTGTCAATCCATCATCTTCTGCTATCCCACCATCCCTAAAATGTCTCTAGAGTTTGGCCTGCTCCTTTCATGCCATGCAGAGAGGGAAAGGGCCAGGAAAGGGATTCTGCTTTTCCCTCAGTAGCTGCTGCCACAGGCAAAATGGCAGAAAGTCTAGGAAAAATAAACAGTGCACCTACGTGTAATGGAGGTTGTTGCAGGTGAGAAGGGAAGGGAATGTGGTTGGAGAGTTTTACTTGAGAGGGGCCACGGGCGTTGATTGAAGGGTGAAGGAACAAGGAGGTGGTTGTATCTTCAAGCCTGCTGGAGAAGGTGACAAAGAAAAGCTTGGCTGTGGAAGCTGATGGATAAAGTTGTGCATGCAAGTACACGTACAAGTGCTGAGAGATGCCGAGGTCAAACTTAGCTTTCCTCCTTTTTCCTGGGCTTTGGTTTGACTTGAATTCAGCTCTGTGCATTGAACTGGTGGTCCAGGGCAGGCAGTGGATTGATGTTGGCTCTGAATTGCTTGTGTGTTGCTGCCTTTTGATCCCTTCCTCTGGTCATGTAGGGTGATCTCAGCCACATGGATATTCCCGTTCAGATTAGGTAGTTGGGCTGGGAGATCGTGTGGACTGTAGTGATGTTTAATAGCATCTAGCCTCCGAAGAACTAGAGCCTTGAGTCTATCAAGTAATCAAGATTACTTCAAATGCCTGCCAGCAACAGCTCCTATCTATGAGATGTGTGGTTCTGCCCCTTACCCCACACAGCACATCTCCTCTCCCCAGCCTCCCTGCTAGCTGTCTTCCAGCCCTGCTTCTCCAGGCCTCTGGTTTATACCCTCTTCTCCACTTTGCAGAAGGAACTAGGTGATTGCTTGTGGATTTCTAGCAGATCAGTGATTCTCTGTACCTTGTCTACCCTCAAAACCTCTGCTGGGGCATCAGAAAGACTCAGCAAATGGCTGGTGGCTCTCTAGCAATCTTATATTTAGTGTTTCTTAGGTAACACTCCTAGTTCAGCTTGACGAGGAAACCTCCAAGAGCTCCTTAGCTCCCTGGGGCTCCTCAGAAGCCTTGCTTTGTCCTGGGCAGAGCTGGGATCTCCCCTCTTTTCCCTTGTTCCCGCTTACATTCTAAGAAACCTAAACTCTCTGAGACAGTGCCTCAAAGCTCAGTGGAGACAACCCAGCATGTGGAGGTAGGTCCCTGGAGTCCAAGACTTGCTACTGAAGGCTCAGGCTCCTACCGGCTCCTCTGCCCCTGGTTACTTCTTTCCATGACTGCTGAGTGAGACCAGCAAGCTTGGACTTATGTCTCACCTTCATCTTGAGCCCAGCTGCTCTGATGCAGCTCTGTTTCTATTTCCACATGTGAAATCCAGCCCTGGTTTGCACAGACCGTCTGACCTCTGTTATGATGGTTTGTGTGAGGAGTGGATAAGTTGCCTAAGTGACAGACTGGACTCGTCACACAGTCACTGCCATCGCCAAGGCCGAGCATTGCCGTTGCTGCTCGTGGCACCAGTGAGGAGGCCAAGGACTGAGCAAAACATGGGGCGGAAGCTGCCTCCATGAGGCGGAGGTACATTGGCATGGAGTGACAAGAAATGCCATCGATCATCAGCTCTGAATTGCCTAAATGTTACCGTTTGCTGCGTGAATCTACGAGTCAGAGGGTTAATTCTACCCTCTGGAAATGTTGGACCATTTAAGATGGGATGACGCAAGCTGCTGATGAAGTGTTTGCAGCTCGCGCTATTTGGAAAGAAACATTTAGGCAGCTGCAGTGGGTTCTGGTGATGACAAATCTTGGAAAGCAGACCTCCTGTTTGATCGTCTGCAAGGGCGAAGCCTCCAGACTGGTGGTGACAGGACAAATCACTTGCAGATGACATTATTTAGCCAGCAGACAGAGTGTTTGTTTGACTGTTGCTGATGCTCCTTTCAAGTCCTGGATATGGACCCACGCTACTCTGACTCTACCATGCTACTCCTCCTCCATCCTGCCATGCCATGTCCCTGGCTCTGCTCACTCGCAGTGTACTCGTCTCCCTTCTCAGCGATGCTGGCTGTTGGATCGAAGGAAGCAAGGGTGCATGCAGATAACTTGTTTGGGGTTACAGAAGCGTGTTGCTCCCTCCCAGTCCAAGGAGGGCTGCAAAGAGCCCCATACTTTGTGTGAGGAGAAGAAATGGAGGAAAAGGCAAGTTATTTTCCAGCAAGTAACAAGTGAAGTTAGGATTTGATCCAAAGTCTAGTGAAGTCTATTGGTTTCTATGGGCTTTGGGCCAAAATCTGTGGGATCATATTCAACCTTCCTATGAGTGTGATGCCAGAGGAAGAGAGGCATCACAGCACGTCACTTAGGTACCGAGGTGAGCTGCCTGAGATCTGCTACTTTCCTTTGACGGGCAGACCTGGCCAGCTTGGGCGGTGGACAGTTTGGACTGGTTGTCGTTATCTTCAGTGTCGGCACTGCACTAAACCTCTGTGTCTCTCTGCTGCGCTGTACGCAGGTGCTCTGGATGTGAGCCTGGGGGCCACAGGTGTCATGAGGCCTCAGAGCAGCACAACCTCTCAGTGGCTCCAAACTAACCCCTCTGAGCTGTGGCCATCCGAAGCCTGCTAGCGAGGAGTGAGTTGTGCTATGACTATCCATGCCATGATGGACCTCATGAGGGTTTCCTCTTCAGGAAGACTGAGGCTGGCTGTTGCTGGGACTGAGGTCCCACCTCACACCTCGCCAGGCAGCTCTTCCACATGAGGCCTGGCCTGGAGGAAAGCGTGCTGTGGCCATGGGTGCTCCCTTGCGCTCAGTATACATACCCTTGAACTGTCAAACCAGCACCAACACAGGCATGCGGTCCACACGTAACCCCTGCTTATCTAACGGAGAATGTGACAAAGAGGTTTTTTTTTTCCCTAGCATTGTGATTTGTGTCTCCACTGCCTGCCTCGTGCTGAGTGAATGCTGAGTTATAGCCACCAAGGGGATGTGTCTTCTTTTACCTGACTATGCCAACCCACAAACTGACCTTGACGCTGACTAGGAAACTTATTCCAGCTCTTGGGACTCTTAAACTTTTGTCTGGATTTCCAGGCACGTCAGCAAAATACTTTATTTGGATCCATTACCTCCACGTTTGCCAGATTCCCTTGTGACCACCTGAAGTGCTAGACAAGCTTCAAATGAGCATAATGCGTTTTATTTGAATAAGTGTTATTCTTGATACCAACATGAGAAGTGCAATTCTCCAAGAGAAAAGCATTTAAAGAAGAGAGCACAATTTAGGCTATATTTGACCAGGCTGATCTAAGCTGTTCCAGTATCTCATCTAACATGAGAGGCTGATAATTTAGCACTTCCGCGTTATCCAAACAAGCCTGTACCAAGGCTGTGTTGCCCAGAGGGTGCTACATATCTGTCTTCTGCTTAAGATGGATTCCTCCTGGATCTCTTCTCTGTCTATCACTTTACCTTCTTTCCTAGTTCTTCTCGGTTGGTTTATGCAGTCGGGATGTAGGCTGATTGACAAGGAGCTCTTTACCAAATGCAACTGCAAGAACTCTGTTTTCCTTGTTTTTCTGGAGCTGGAAGATGCAAAATGCCTATGCAAAAAGTGGGACACTCCACCACATCACCTGCTCTCTCAGAACTTTTTTGGATCAAACTCCTATTGTATGCCTTAATATGTTCCTTCTAGCTTGCATGCTCTCCTGTAAGACACATTTCCTGGAAGTCTGTTACTAAACTTTATAAATCATACATCATGAATTTCACGCATTGTCCTTGTATCCTATAAGGTTCATAATTTTCAGCTCACTTTCAGCCTTCCATATAGACCCCACGCGTCAGACGTGTACAGATGACAGGCATGATATTTTGAGTGTTTTTTTTCTGAATTTGCTTCTTCCTCTTTCTCTTCTTTTGGTCAGTTCTGGGAAGGGGTGTCCTGCTGCGACACTCGTTTTGTAACGAGTTGCTACTTTGCTAGTCCATGTTTGTTCATCTCTTTGCCCTACATGTCTCACTTGTGGAGCATAACCTTAAGCTAGTCTGTACATAGCCACACTCAGTGATGTCTTGGCATGCTAGTCCTCAGTACCATGCATTTACTCTCCATCACATCCCACTCAGGTGACAGGATAACCTACCCTTTGGCAAGGGAGTTACAATCCTGGCCTGCCAGCTTTCTCCCTGCCCTTCCTGCCATGTTTGTTGGGACGTCCTGCATGACGCCATGAGTGACCAGCACCATTCCTGAACACGCAATGCATGCCCTTCGCAGAAAGGACATACATGTCTACATGCCTTTTTGCCGCTGCCCAGGCTGGCCCAACACATCACGCCTGATGGCTTCTGGTGTTTTTTTTCTTCCCTCAGTTATAAGCGCTATCTGCAATGCTGTTTGCTCCTGCTTTTCCATCCCGTTATTTGGGGGGTCCGATAGCTTTAGTAGTGGCAGATGATGCCACTGGAGTCTTTCATGATGATGGTCCCTATACAACACTCATGTTACTATTTCCCCAAGGGGTGTAGGAGGTTTCACAGCTTCAGCTGTGACTCTCTGTCCCCTCAGTATATCCTTAGCAAACCTGGTCTTTTTGCAGGGATAATATGTGTTTCCAGGGTGGAAGAAGAAGGGGGGACAGAACAGGGAAGCGTAAAATGAATCCCAAGACGAGTGCAGCAGGAACTGCAATGCTGTAGTGGTGCTGGCACCTCTGATATTGGTATGGTAGCTCCTGTGTGCACTTAGACTTGCAGTGCTGCTGTGAGGCCAGTGTTTCCACACCCCAGCTCTGCTGTCCCTCCTCATCCCTGGTGGATCCCTGTCTGTCAGGCATCGGTGCCTGTCTGTTGTGCAGTTTGTGTCAGCTCCGTGACTCTCCTTGCTGCCTGACTCTTATTCTCTCTTTTTTCCTCCAGGAGCTGTCACAGTGTCCTTAACCTTCTTTGCTTTTCTCTCCTCATACGCTCTTTCTGTCCTTCTTGCCATCTCCCTATCATTTCTCCATTGCCACCCCCTCACTGTCCCCTGGCCTCTCCCCTTGCCTGCCCTCGCTGCAGGAAAGCTGGCCTCATTCTCTCGCAGCTTGGGGACCTCAGCAGCTGGTGCAACGGCCTCCTGCAGGAGCCCAAGATCAGCCTCCAGCGCTCGTCGCTCAAGTACCTTGCCTGCCGCTACAGTGAGATCAAGCCCTACGGGCTCAACTGGGCAGAACTCAACCGGGACCTCAAGAAGACGTGCGAAGAGCAAACACTAAGCGTCCTTTACAATGACTATGGTGACAAAGACTACTGAGGGTTGCAGACACCCACTCTCACGCTGGCCTTCCCAAGGGCGTTTGTGAGGGTTTTATATATGGACCTTCATTGGTGGAGGGAGGGTGTCACCGGTGTTTCTGGAGACAAAAACTTGGACCAGGGAGAGAAAAGACTGCTCTGTGCAGGACTCAGTATTAGAATCTTCTTCAACTTGGCCAAAAGCCTTTCTAGTTAGAAGTCTTGTGGGACCCAGTTTTCTTGGTTTATTTTATTCATTTTACCGAGAGGTTCCTCAAATTGCAGAGGGTGATGCAAACTGCGGAGAGAGCAGCCTGGGAGGGCACAGCCCTTTCTCCGTGCTTGGTTCCCCTTCCTCTTCCCCTGGCTGTGGTGGCCAGTGCTGAGACTGGTGGGTCAGTAGTTACTGAAGAAACATGGTGACAGAGCCAGGAAGGGATAGCAGGTCCCAGTCAGTAGTGGTAAATGAAGTGGCTCAATTAATTCAGGGTTGGAACAATGGAGGCTGGGCATACAGATCAGATTGAAATGCTTTCCTCACGTGGTTATTTCTGAGCAAAACAGCCATTGTGCAGCCAAAGGGTTTTTTTTGCAATTGTAAAGCATGAGATCCAGATGAGGACCTAAGCAGCTGTGGCACCATTGCAGGGCAGGACTGGCTTGATGCCATCCAACAGAGGAGAGTTGGGGAGAGGGGCATTAGTGAGCACACCTCCTTCGATTTGGTCTTGTGCTGTCGAATTCTGCATCTGCTCAGAGGTGGAGAGTCCTCCAGGTCAAATGCAACCTGACCGCAGAGGGCCTGTGGTCCGCTGGACATCCATGTTGACCTTTTTTAACTTTTTTCTTATGGGACCAAACTCCTAGGAAGTTAACTTAAAAATTCCTTCCATTTTTTTTTTTCATCCACCGTAGTAAAGTTTTGTAAGCAGTGACTATTGTTCAGGAGAGCTCCAGCAAAGACAAAAGTATGTAGACAGCATAAGCAAGGCTGTCTTCTGTATTAGCTGCTCTTTAACCGTGGCGTAGCTCCAGGTCTGCATAGTGAGAGGAGCCTAGCGTAGCATAGCCCCAATGAGTTCGTGCCAGATTTACATTCCCACACTACAGCAGGCACTGTCTGCTCTGTGCCCCTGTCCCTCCTGCATGCTTTGCACTCAGCGGAAAGTGCAGCCCCACTTGCTAGCATGTAGAGTGGCTACCTGTGGAACTGCTTCATGGCACTGCCCCCAGAGAGCCTCTGGAAATCTCGCCTCCAGGGAGCCTGAGGTTGAGGGGAAAAGGAAAGTGATTTCAGGACAGTTACCTCCGGGGCAGAACAGGCCCATTCGAAGAGACAGTCCTGCTGTAGACCTGCAGTTCCAGGTGGTCTTTGGGACCTCAGGGCTGCCAGCTTTCCCATCAGGCATGTCACATGGATGTTCCTGGTCCTGGTACCCGGAAGGGGTTGGTGTGAAGGGTGATGGTGGATAGGCTTGTGGAGTTGGTACTTTCCTGTATTTAGACTCATATCTGTAGCTATCACGAATGACTCCTTTTTTAAACTGGAGAACTGAGGTGGTCCTGGGACACCGGGCTCAGCTCAGGACAAACTGTTCTCCAAAACCCTATTACCACAGGCAGCGTTGGAGGCAGCAAACGGCTTCATTTTAGCTTCAGTTTCCTGCTTTTGCATGCAGAAGTCTGTTTTGTAGAGGAGGAATCTTCAAACTTGTCAGCTGTGCACCTTTGATCTGGACAAACCAGGAGCCCTATAGTGGGATTTTTTATGATGCATCTTCAGAGCAAAATTTCCTTTTCATTTTTCAGTCTTGGCAGGAGCAATCTTCAGCCTGTCTCTTATGATTTTCTGCCTCATTCCTCCTGCTACCTGCCAAGGCCATGGCTCAAATATTTGCTTTGTGTTGGGAGTGAGGCTGTTGTGGTCCACTGCCAGTCACAGCCAAGGGCGCTGCATCACAGTATTTGTGCAACAGCAATTCAGTGTGCGTTGAGGGTATCTTTCTGCTCATTGCATGATAAAACAGTGCTCTGCTCTTCTCTTCTCACGAACAAACCTCTCATTTAGATGCAACTGGCCTTGACCAGGGAGCTGGTGGGAGCAGCCACTAGCAGTCAGTATTACCTGGAAGTCTGAGTGGCCTTTGGGTGATGAATGTGTCTGGCAAGGGTCACCAGGCAAAGGCCTGCTCGTTGCAGGAAAGGAGGTGAAGCCTACTGGATCCTTTTGGCTTCCTGTCACAAATGTCTCCTTCTTAAATCCCAGATGACCTGCCCCACTGTTGCCGGATGCTGCCGCGGCATGAGGCTCAGAGCAGGACCGGTGCCGTCTCCGTGTGCATTTGCTCACCAGTGTCAATACGGAGAAGGAAGCACCACTCCCAGCGGCGAGTATCCTGGATGCCCCTCCGTTCACCCTGCCCAGCTGACGTCCCAGCTGACTGGAACATGGGCCTGGCTCTCAGGGCCAGCATTTCCCGCTCTGAGGGTCTCAAGACATGTCATATAGCAGGGCTCAAACCTGCTCCTGGGTATGTTGCAGGTATGGGTGGGCAGGTGCTCTGTATTCAGCTGTTGCTCCTTCTCCTTTCAGCCCCAGGGAAACTTGGCCCAGGTACTTTGGTTTATCCTCTCGCTTCTTCCAGCGGATGCTGAGACAACTTTAACTTTCAACCAGGCAGCCATCCAGGGATGGGCAAAGGGCACCTCTGCTCAAAATCTTGGGAAGGATACTTGAATGAAGGCTGCTCTGGCCCAGAAGCAAGTTGGTTGCTCACCAAGTAATACCGCTTACGTGGCCTTTATATGAAATGCAGACTGTTTTCCTTTTGGTAGCAGACTCCTCTCTTTTATGACTTACTAGGTGCAGCAGCAGAGATGGGAATGGTACAGTCTGACAGCCACTCCCTGTGAAAGCTGCCAAGAAAACCCTGCATGCTCCAGACACTGCACACATTCACACCTGTCTAGGTTACTTTTTAGTCCGGCCCAAGATTTACGATGGGGCTTTGCAGATATTTCCGTTCTGCTTCTGATCTTGCATTTCAAAGCACTTGCGTGGTCATTCAAAAGAGCTGGTCAGCCACTGAGCCTGACTCTTCCCCAGAGACCAGGTCTCCGAGGTTATCTTGTCCAGCTCCCAGCCAGAATGATTTTCTCTCTCTTGCTGTCCTTCAATGCTCTGTTCAGGTCGCTCTTGAAAAGATTGGGGTTCTCCTAGATCCCTGAGTCTGATCTCAGAGGTGAAATTAGCTCAAGAGACTCAAAACCACCTTGACTACAGAAGAGATTGCCAGAAGCAGCAATTATCTGCAAGAGTCACACAGCCCAATGGTCTTTTATGTCTTTTCCCGTAGAAAATCCCCATTTGTCACTCAGAGCAGTTATTTGTGGCATGCTGTTTGTGAGGAGGCTCCATTGTCCTTGCCTTTCCATGGGGCCGGGAGATGAGCCACCCGAACAGGTTGGCCAGATGTTGGCACACTAAGGGTGAGGGAAAAGTAATTCATCCAAGGTGGTTTGGCAAAAGCATTGCCCAAATGAGCCTCAATATTTACCAACCCGTGACATGCCACTGCACCCGCTAGATCGTGCTGTCCTCGAGGGATGCTGTGCAGACGCGAGCACTTGGCTTGGGTAAGCGTACTCTCTTCACGTGTCAGAGAGCCACGACTGGATCTTGCACAGCATTTTCTCAATCTCTTGGCATTTTGCAGGCTGCCAACCACATGAAAGCTGGAGAAGACATTATTTGCTGTCTGTTTCCACAATCTCCCTTGTCCCCCTGCCCTCTCTCCTTGTTTTATTTCTGAATTAATGAGTGATTATTCACTTGAGATGAACCTCTGGGTTATTCTATTTTCTTTGCTGCACCCGTACCCCTGTAATAGCATTACTACCTTTTACTTGTCGTGCAGTTATTTAACATATAAAGATGGTTTGGTCCTTTTCTTTAAAAAGATGGCTACGATTCATGTTCCTTGATGTTCTATTAAAACTCTAATGTGACGTTTTACTACTGTAGATTGAAAGTAGGGTGCTTTAGGGTGGGATAGCCACGTGGCAAGAAAACACAAAACCCTTTAGGATTACTTTAAAAATGGTTTTAAACAAAACAAAACAAAAGCATTGTAACACTATGTAAAACTCCAGATGAAAATTTAATTGACTATTAAACGGAGCTGTTAGTAATCCGTGGGTTTGGCAAACTGGAATGTTTGTTTATAGTTTTGGTCCAGTTGATGTCATCTTTGGTAGCGGATGAAAAGCAGAGGCTGCGAGTCCCCAGCCTTTGAACCCCAGTGCCTCTTCACACAAGTTTAGCATTAGCCTGTCTGCTCACCGGTTCAGCCAAGTCCTGATCCACTCAATACACGGAGCCAGGCCAGTTGCTTTCGCATCGGCTTGTCTACCTGCTCTGTGAGGCAAGATGTCAAGCCCTAAGGGGGCGGGGGGGGGTTGAGTGGCTGTGGCATGTCAGGTTTTGGGGGAGGACCACAGCTCCACCAGCATCTCTCCCAGGTGAGCTGTGCCCATTGTGGATTACTGTGCTGATGGCAGCTTTAGGTTGCTCTCAGCTATATTAACATAGCCTCTGGAAGGTGTTTCCAGTCTTTGCTTTGCAGCCCTTTTCATAAGTCTGCAGCCACCAGGCATCCACCTTTGGTCTCTTGCTGGCTTCTGCTCCCTGGCAGTGGGCGCTTGTGCCTCATGGTAAGCTCTTTTTGGCCAGCTGATCAGACCTCAGCTTCTCAAAGGCTGCAAAGCTCCATCCAGCCTGGCAGTCCACTGGTACTCCCATGGGCCAGGCTGATAACAGCCATTGAGCTTCTTTGTGATGATGGAAAGGCCTTGGTGAACTTTAGGAATTGGGGTGCAGATTCCAAAGAGATGTTCCTCCTCCCCTCCTTTTAGCCTATTTTTTTAGACAATAAGGTGGATACGATTATGCTGTCTGGTGGTCAGCTGCGCATAAAGACTTTTCTGGTCAATTTGGCAGACTTTTGACAGAAGAGTAGCAGGGTCAACCATATTGACTTCCAACAAGTTAGGTGAAAATCAGTGCCTGAGCAGAGGTGAGAGATGCAAAGGAAGGGCTCCACAGATGAGAAGTCAGTTATAACGCAGTTTCTTGTCTAGCACTTTGGCCAGGAAGCCGATCAGCGCATCTATAATGGCTGGCCCATTAGCCAAGCTTAGCATGTGCTCCTGCTGACCCTGCCGAACAGGTGGGAGACACAAGAGCGAGATGGGGGTTACTGTGTGCAGGGGGACAGGATGCATGTGAGGACATGGGACGGGGGAATTTCGGGGATATAGAACACGAATCCATAGGAAACCAGACTTCATTAAGTCTCATGGAACAAGTTGATCTTTTTTTCTTCCCACTGCTAAATTGCAGGAAAATAAGCTAAAAATACACCCAATACTTTCCTTCTGCTATTTTCCATGCAGTTAAGTGCTGTGGCTGCCACTGGATCGTTGCACAACAACCAGTGGCTGTGAAACGAGACATGAGGAGAAGGAGGAGGAGATGGTCCACGTGTCAGCAGGGAGGAGGAGCATGGGGACAGCAAGGTGTGCGGTTGCAAATGCGGTCTGTAGCGTAAGAACGGTTCCATTCAGCTGGCTCATCACCCCATTCCAGACACCTTCACCAGAGCGAAATCTCCTCGGGGGTCAGCTGATTTGAAAGTAATAGGAGTTTGGAGAAAGTCACCCCAAGAGCTAAGTAAGTGGACTGTAAAGGATGCATCACCGACTGAAGGAAAAGGGCAGCTTTTTAGGCATGGTCTGGTGTTTTCCCCAAAATGAGAACTTCCCCAAACGCCCCATCTTATCGCCTTGAGTCCCCCCCACCCCCCAGCCCATAGCTTGGACTCCAAAACTTACTTCACCTCCAAACTTGCTTCTCTTGCCTTCTTTGCATCTACTCAAGCCTCCAGTTGCTCACTGCAAGTCTTTCTTCTGCTGATTAACAAGATAGGGACTACTGGGATGGGCTCCTCCCTGAATCAGAAGGCAGAGAGCAGCACAAGTATTTATTTGCTATGCAAAGGAAGGAGATGGATTTTTTTTTTTTTAATTGAAGGGGAAGGACTTTCTGCAGTGTTTGCTTGAATTGCTGAACTAAGCTGACAAAGAGTGGAAGGAGCCTGGAAGAGCCCTTCAGTGCAATTTCCATGAGGAGAAACACCTCCACGTCCAAAACTGCCCAGCTTCTCATTTTGCCTGCCCACTGCTAGTATGCCATGCCCGTTGGCCATCACGTTGCCTCTGCCAAGTGAACCAGTCCTTCTCTTGGGCCCAGATTTCCAAAGGGAAGATGCACTCATCCTTCCTGTAGCCACCTCGATGGCCCTGGAGAAGAGGTAGAGCACAGCCCAGGACTTTGATTCAGCCCATACCTTGTTCCCACTGATGTCACCCTTGCTGAAAGTGCCGCTCTAATGTGCATGTGTATGTGTGTTTGAAAGGGTTGCCATTAGCAAGCACTCCTTAGTCATCCTTTGTCTAAAAGCAGATACTCATAGGAATCTCTCCAGCTTAGACAGTGCATAAATACCATGCCGTAGCTTAGGCCTTCACACAAGATATATGTGTCTCCACAGTCCTGGTAGCTGCCCCATTTTTATGACTGGCTGTGCAGATGAGCATCGTAATTGCTGACAGAGCTTTTCAAATCCTATTTGTTGATTTGGTTTAATAAAAGGGCCACCACCCTGCTCAACTCCATATACCCCTTGTCTTGGAGAGAGAAGAATCTGCCTCTCTTGAGGCCGATTGTTTGGCGGAAAGGAGGAGAAGGGCTGGGAAGGGTTCCCATGGAAAACAGCTTTTCACTTGGCTATTGCCGTAGTCAGCTGCCCTTTTTGTTTTAAATGCAAAACATACAGTTTGGGTCTTGGTCACTTGGCAGTCTTTCTCCCACTGCTGAGGCTACAGAGCCTCAGCATGTGCTGTCCTCCATGGGAGCAAATCTGGCCCTGGCAGAAATGCATTATTTTTGGGAGCTGTGCCCCAGAGAGGATGGACATCAGGTGTCACCAGGACCTGCTGTTGCTTCCCAGGGGAGTGTCCATGCAAAGAGAAGTGAAGGAGGGGGCAGCACAGACCAAAGAGAAGAAAGTCAAAGTAAGAAATACTTGGAAGAAGCAGGGCTTAAAGGCAGAAGAGGGAGTGTGGGGAAATCAAAGATGAAAAGGAGAGAAACTCGGGATGAGTTGACTCTCCCTAGTAGAAACAAAACCCTTCTTGGCTTTGGGCTTCTCCGTCCTAGCCCATGGTGTGCCGCAAAGGGCAGCACCGCGTGCGGGGTGCCTCAGCAGCACCTGGGCCTGAAGTTAGGCTCGTGGGCAGCCCTGTGGGCATCTCCTGCTGCTGAAATCCAGGGAGCCGATGGCCTCGCTCGCTTCCAGCAGTAACATAAAACTGAGGCACCTCAGCTTGTTTCAATCAGGGCCACGTACATATGCCTCCAATTGCTGGTGATGGGAGGGCCCCAGCACACCCACGGCCATGGGGGGGGCTTTTCCTTCCCTTTTTCCCAGTGCATCACCCCACTCTTGCGTCTGGCCGTTCATTTGGACAAAGGCCTCCGCTCACTCACGTCAACCCTGCGGAAGGAAATTTTATTGCTTTCTGTAGCATTCACCCTGCGGCTGAGGCCCATGGTGGATGGGCACTTAGGGAGGTGTGGGGTTTTCTGAGTGCCTGGGCACTGGCCTGTTGAGCAGCCTGCCCGTGGGGCACCTGCCTGCCTTGGCACCCTCTGCCGTGGGGCCCCGGCAGCCCCTTGGCTCCCTTGGCCCACTGCAGTCACTGCTGTTTTTCAGTCCTTTCCGATCTTTCCGCTTGCTCAGCCATGACTCACCTTCTCCACCATTTGGAAAGAAGGAGTGTGGCAAAGGAAAGATAAATAGCTTCTAGCACAGCTTTGGCCTTTTAAAATACCGCCGTTGAGCTGTGAAACAGCTCAACCTTGAGAGACCACCTCGTGATGGTGCAGGTAAGAGCTGTTTGAGCTGGCTCCCATGGGGTCCGGAGAAGGGCCCGATCGCTGCTGGCCGGCTACAGTGTTTGCCCCGAGCCGTTGTTCAGGGCAGCCTCAGTCTGACAAAGCGGGAGGCTTGAAATGGCCCCAAAACTGGTCTATTTGAAATGCAGTATGAATTTCTTTAGCTGCCATTCTTGGTTGCTTAATTTTTGGAAACCAAAGTGACTTTATCTTTTTTTTTTCTTTTTTTGGGGGCCATTTTTTGTTGAGGTTAAAATGTCTTAAAAAAGAAAGAAAGGAAAACAGAGGCTGGAAACTGAAAAACTCCAATGATGGAAAATGCAGCAGTCAGAAGTGAGGAGAAAGCCTGTAAGCCCTTCTCCCCACGTTCCTATGCAAAGTACAGTTTCAGCATGGTAAAAACCCCGTGGGCCCCTGCGGCAGTGACTCCTGGAGAGGTTAGCCCAGGTTTAGACATGCCTGCTGCTGCTGCTAGCCCAGACAGCTCTTCCACCCTCCAAAGTGGGAGGTGGTAGGACTTTCAACCCTGGCTTGGCTGCACATGCAGGAGAGACAGGGGCCAGGACAGACACACTACTAAAACAATTTTAGCTCAGGCCATTGGGATGCTCTTTGGGGTTTCCCAATCTGTATGAACAAAGTTTATTTATTTGGTTGTTGTTCAAAAGAAAAGAAAAAGTCTTCCCACTGTCTTTCAGCAAACACACCAAGACACCCTGCCTAGCTGTGCGAGTGAGGAAGAGAAGGGAGGCACTGCCACTGGTTGGCGTGCACATGGCAGCTAGGAACTCCCTTTCAATATAAGGAGAAGAGGAACAAGTTGTGTTTTCCATCCTTTTATGATGGGTTAATTACAAAAAGAGATCGGAAATGGGTCATTTTGTGGCGTAAGCAGTGAGAGAACATTTAATTGGAAAAGGCTGTGATGGTCACCTTTCAGCATTGCTGGCTCACTGGCGCTAACCTGTCTGGACAACGCGGGATGGAAACATCGGTGGCCCGAGCCTCTCTGCAGATGTGTGCTCACCGCAGGGGCACAGCAACAGCGGCCAGGGTGGCAGGTTTGAACATAGAGGGAATTGGCCATCCCACCTCCCCCCGCAAATGAAAAACCACAGCCAAAGGTAGCTCTTCCATGGAGTTGGGCCCATGGCTGGGAAAGCCCACAGTCTGAGGCAGCGGAGGGCATGTTGGACCGTGGGTCCCGGGAGCCATCAGACCGCCTCCCTCGCCCACTCTGGGCACCCTTCTGGTAGAGCAGCCATGCAATGAAGCAGAAGAGGTGGAGGATGAGAAGATTATTTATTTTTCATAGATTTTTATAAAAAATAATTATCAAATACAAAAAATAAAAATAGCAGCAGCCTCCGTTGTGAATAAAACCCTAAAGGGGACAAAAACCGCTCAGTGTCGCTATAGAACAATATTTCGGTACGTAGAAGCTATCCGTTCACGAGAAGCACAACTCTCTATCAGCCTAGACAACTCCTACCCCCTCCCCGGGCCCATCTGTCCCCCCACCCCCACCCCAACCTGGTTCACCGTGCAGGGCCAGACCGCGCACGACCCCTTCCCTGCACTGGCACCAGTGTTGTGCATGGCCTTGCACCCTACCTGCAATAAGGGACCTTTGGGCGAGTCACTACTAAGAGGGTAAAAATTTGGCATCTAAATACTTAAGCTCCCAGGTTAATAGCCTGCCTTGTCCTCCAGCAGGCAGCTAATGCTGAAGTCAGGTGGGGAAGAGTTTGACATGGCAAGATGCAGGTACTTGAAATTCTCTGGTCTCCCTCTGAGTGTCACCCTCATTCCACATATCCATGGCCACTGTTTGCCTCATTTCTGCTCATCCTCCTGGGCCTTGCTCTCCCAGGGCTCGGAGGGGCTCGCAGCACCCCGATAGCCCTGGCACCTTTGCAGGGCTTAGCCATGACTGGTACTTTCAGCTGTGGGGTGGCTCCCACTGCAGTTAGGGCCAAACTGGCTCAGCCCAGCAAATGCACCGGGAGGAATGACCTTTTGGATGCGCTCTGCTCCCTGCAGGGAGGTGACCTGCCGAGGAGTCAGGGGTGCTCTTGCGGTTGGAAAAGGGCTTTGAGAAGGACAATGCATCTCATTTCTGGGCATCAGGTGGGATGTCTAGATGCCTCTGTCTCTATTCCTAACTTCCGGCCAAAAATACCTTTTGGAGATGCCTGACAAAAAGCAGGGCAGGCCAGCAAGAGCCAAAGAATGGGATGGCCGCCTTGAAAATCCCCAGTCTCTCCACAGTGTGTCACCCCATCCACGTTATTTCTGCGCACCGCCTAGCCGGCAAGGCCTCTGAGCGTCACAGCTGCCTGGGGAAGATCCTGCAGCGGTGGTGTGGGCTGGCGGGTGTGGTGGGGGTGGGGGGGGGGGGGGGGGGGGGGGGGCTGCAGAGCATCCCAAGCCCAGCTGGGTTTTCATGGTCTGACTCTGTTGCCCCTTCTCCACTCTCTTCTCTCTAGCCCTTTTCCCTGCCTCTTTGCCCTCTTCTGATTTCTCACCTCTGGCTGCAGCGTTGTTCCCAGCACCCAGCTGTGAGAAATTAAAAAGAGAGCATAGTGACACCCCAGCCTAGCCAAAAGCCATCAGAGCCAGGCGCCTTCTTTACCCTCTGCCTCTACGGGCCTCCATGCAGACCGCCAAGCAGAACGCCTGAGAATCAGCTTTGGGTCCCATAGTTTCTAGCTGGGCTTCTTTGTGTCTAGAAATTCATTAGGAGCTTTTCACCTACAGAAGGAAGATACTCATGCTAATCTGAGACTGTAAGCCCAGCAGTTTGGCCTTAGCAAGAGAGATAATAAGGAGAAGCTCAGTGGAAAAAGATGATGCTCAAGAGCCTCCTGACAGGTCCTTTGCGCCCCACCTCTCCCTGCGAGGTCTCATCTCACAGAGCTGCTGGCAACACTGCTGAAGTTTGTGTTTGGAAAGAAAATGTCCAGGGGGAAAAAAAAAAGCAGCTCTTTAGCTTCATTCGTTTCAGAGCATCACACAATTATTCTATGTTGCCCTCTACATCCTTCGTCTAGTTGGGTCGTCACCAGCCAAAATGAAATGGGGAGCAAGGCAGAGTGGGAATGTGGAGTGTCTTTGCTACTATCTGCCATGTCGTGATCTTCAGGGACACGTTACCCTTTCCAGAGGTCTCTCAAATAGTGGGTCAAATCTGTCATGTCCTTCAGCACAACGGTGCTCGCCTAAGCTGTGGTGGTTGCTGGAATGAGTTAAGGGTACAGTAGTATTTCTTTTCAGGTGCGGCTCTACCTCAAAAATCCTGTCTCAGGACCCAAACCAGAGAAAGGCAAAGCACCTGCAAATCCCAACAGCAAAAGTTGGCATTTGTAGTTGCTGAGTGCGTCTCAAGGTCCCAGCCTGCATGCCGTGTGCCCGGGGGAGCTGTGTCCTCTCATAGTCTGGCTGTTTGGCTTCTCTCTCTCTATCCTCTTTCCAGCTCCCTCTTAGCAAATGAGGGGAAATTCCCTGCTCTTCCCGCCCCTACCTGCACTTTTCCCAATGGTTTATACTTCACAGCAGCATGGGTGTGTGACAAAGGATATCCTTTCTTAGCTTCATAAAGAGCAAAGAAAATATAATATATATT